TTAGAATATGATGGTATGCAATGTATGGATAAATACTTGGTCAATATGGGAAGCAGTCAACTAGAGAACTGTTAAGGTGCGGCTCGGATGCATACCAGTTAATATAACGTTAATGGCTGTGTATGTGCCAACCAATCTAACGAATGGGGTGAAACAAGAAGCAGTGACATCTCAAGAGTTTCACAGTTGTTTAGATCATACAACACACAAGGTGTCATTATGAGATATGATCTTGATTCTAGGATATCTCTAGGTGTAAGTTGAGAAGCAACAACATCTAATATTATGTGAATTGATTAGAAGACATACCATCAATGAGGTAAATTCCAAACAAGAAATACTTGTAGGCTGTTATTAAATCAATAACATGATGGTGACAAAGTGTAGCGTATGGATGACAGTGTTTCATCTACTCACAAATTAACATCGACATTCACACTTTCACCCTATTCAGAGATGCAATCATACCCAGCCCACGAACTACACTTTGATGTAATTTGAGTCAAGATGATCATGAAAATCTTGAAAACGAGACATTGGGAAAGATATCCGTCAGAAAAGAACTTTAAAGGAAAATTATAGCCGCAATGAGTCTTACATAGATATATACTTTCAAAACGGCTGTGTTGAACGATGATAACTGCAGTTCGACAGCTTGAACTGGTGGAAAGTTATTCAAAAAGTGATGGTTGGCATTTTATTAATAATTCGACAGATTTTCACTCGATGGTGCCCATATTGTAATTTGAATATCTCAATAGGGGAACGATTTTAGGAGCTGAAATTTTTGGCGTTTTTTACATCTCACATGGGACTACATACAGACGAAATTTCATCGAAATCGGTGACATCAATCGAGCAGCATTGGTCGCCTCTATTGTGCATTGTTTTCTACACATACGTACATATATATATTTACACATCATCATCTAATTCTTTATAGGATAAGAGAATATCATCTATGTATAAAGAACTAAGGCAAACCTGTAGTCTTCGAGAACGTCATATTCTTTACATGCGTCAAAATAATGTCATTGATCCTTAAAAAGCAAACATTAGTACCTGATGTTTTTGCGAATGTCACATCACTAATAAATATGAATGCATGTTGCTATTGAACAATTTGAGAATCAGTATTAGAAGTCTCGAAGGCTGGTGTAAACATCATGTCCAACACGCTCATCCTACTTGCTAGTCAACTGATATGTTCAATTGTGCCTGCTATCAGTGTCATAGTTGTTGCCGGTAACTCGATCAATATTGGTGTGCTTACTCAGAAAAGTTTTGTATAATCAGGCATGTTCTCGCTATTCTCTAGCTCTTGCGACGCAATAGCAATTAGATGTGCCAAAGCATCACTTCTGTCGTACAAACCTATTCAATATACTGCTGGTATATCTGCAATTCCATTTCTCGAGTTCATTCTACTCGCATCAGTCGACAAGTATTGTGCCGGCTCGATAGATACTCAGTCACGAAAACTCAGTGATGTTTAGGGAGAATTTTTACATGGGAGACGTTGTTCGAATTGATAAGTATTGTGATAGGTTAGCTGTGTCTGCAAGCATTTTTGACTGATAAAATTGAATGAGGTTGTGGATTTTTAGCACAGTTCACCGCTTATCTCACAGATCAAATTCAGAGCATAATAGAGTCTTTCTTGCATAACCTATTCTCTTCTTTATCTCTTCTTTCTGAGGTCAGTCATGGGGTAGTGTTAATGCTCCTAGAATATGAACTGTAACCTATCTTTAAATGCGATTATAATATCTCCAGATTCGAGAATATATTTTTAAAGATTACAATCTGATCGTATAAGTTGTTGTTTTTTTCTTTTCGCCGTATATTGTCTTTTTGTGTTCTTCAATTTTGAATTGTTTTAATCATAAACAAGTGGGCATTCGTTAAAGCTATGCAATTCTTATATTGCTCACGCGTACTGACTTACCTTTCTATTATGCGTGGAGAACTGAAACGTAAAACGTTATCAAAATGAGAAATGCATTTGAGTCATGACTCTTCACAAGAAGGAGCTTTATCATTGCTGTATAGCAAAACATAAGTGCCTATAAGAGAATTACAGCTCAATGCCTCCGCACCCACTTCGTTACATATTTGCTCAGTGTTAAATTTTATCCATGAATAAATAACAAGCAGCAATCCACATAAGTATATATAGGGATCTGAGTTTGCATTGTGAATTTCATTATTGTACACTCTTCTCAACCTTAACTTCAACATTCGCTACAAATAACAGTTAAGTCATTATTCTAAGCATATATAAAAATAAACTCATAAGTGACTTCTTCTACTATATTTAGTTTTCACAATCGCTATGCGTCTACTTATATTCATCTTAGGCATTTGTATGTTTATCAGCGCTACGATGGCTTTCTCGTATGAAGCCTGGTCGAAAAATAACTTTCAAGGTACGGTCAAAACATACACGCAGCGTGGTACCTTCTATCCTGGCTATACCATCAAGTCATACAGATGGAAAAGCAAATCCGGTGATGGTTGCTGTGTCCGCATGTGTAATGGAGGCGGAAGTGTTGGATACTATTGCCCATCGAAATCGAATGGTGTTCCAAGTACAGCCTTTAACAAAATTGTCATCGGATGTGGCAATGAACAACTTAACTGTTAAAGAGAAAGAGAGCTCTAGACTTGAAACATTATACTAGCAGCGTAATTCAAAAGTACTTCTTGCTTCAATTCGCTTGATTTACATATTATTTTAAGAAAAACAATGTAAATACAATATTTTCTGCAGAACCATTCATTCCCTTATTTGGTTTTTCTTTTTTGAAATTGAGAGTCTACGTTAAGGTCATTGCATCGATAACTGGAAGAAGAGGGACCTCCCATCCATCTTTGCCTACACTGATTCTTGCTAATCGAGCTGGATCAGCTCAATAAATGATCGTGTTCCATTCTCGTCAACATAACAAGCAGCTTTATCTACTAGAGCTATCATTTCAAATCCACTCGTCACATAAATCACTAATCTTAGTGATAGTTCTCAGTAAAAAGAACTCGATATTTTACATTTGTATCGCATTAAAGTGTCATATTTAATATGAGTAAAATGTTTTCTTGTATTTCATTTAACGCTTACAGCATAAAATTAACATGCAACTTTTGTCAGATTTTTTTGAAAATGCTAATCATCATTTCTTGAATAACTTTCGACTAGTTTCAGAAATTTTGGGGACATTTATCTAGGCAAAACTCGTTGAGGCTAGGGATGTGCAGCTTCGGCGAAAACAGTGAATTACTGACAGTGATGCCACTGCACTGAGCGCACTGACTGCAATGACACACTGACACTGGTGTTCACTGAATCAGTGCATGCACTGGCACTGACTGTTTCGGTTGCAGTGTCTACACCGACATTGGTGTTCACTGAGCCAGTGTGGGTGTGGGTGATGGAATTTTTCACACACACACGCATATCCACCTCCCCCAACCCACACCCACACCCTTCGCCAATTACAAATATGTGCTGTATCAATTTTTTAAACACTTGTACAAATGATTATTACATCAAATCTTCAAGTATAAACATTAAAAAAAAGAATCGATTAAATTTTTAATATATCATTTTTTTAAAGATTATCTTTCTATGGACAAAATTAATTTTGTTCAACAATTCGTTTTTTATATTGAATGTATTTATCGTATACCTGGTTATAGTATATGCGAACGAGTAGATAAATACAGTAAAACCTCTATTAGTGAACACCTCTCATTTTGAACAAGGTCTCGGTTCCACGAAGCTATTTTTGCTGTAAATACATCTCTCATCGGTGAATACCTCCCAACTCCGAATTTGAACACTATTTTATAGTCCCGATTTCTGTTATAGCTTCTCTTAGATGAACACACGTGAATTCTTTTCTCTCTCTTCTCTCTATCGTTTCCTATTCATTCACTAAAAATGGCTATTTATTGTTCGTTATAACTGTACATACCACCAGTCGAACAATGACTTCTCGACATCATCTTATATTAAAAGAAAAAATTCAACTAATTAATGATAGCAGTAGTGATAATGACTTATCATAACGTAAATTAGCCGAAAAATACAACATTTCAATTGGTTCTGTATCTGATATATTAAAATGAAAAAAAAAAGAATTTTTACAAGATTATGAAAGAAATCAAAATTGATTGATATTTCTATTGATTTGAAAAAACAAAGACAAACAATTATAGAGGACTTTTTGAAATAAAACTGTGTTTTGTTTTGTGAAAATTTTTCATTTGGAATAAATTTAAATGAAAGAAGATAAGCTAAACAGAAAATGTTCTCCAATTACCTCAGAACTGGTAAATATGCTTATTTTCTGAAAATTAGCCTCATACTCTAGTAAAATAGATGACGTCTCCCATAGGTGAACACCTCTTAAAATTGAACACTTTTCAAAAGTCCCGAGAGTGTTCACTGAAGAGAGGTTTTACTGTATAATACAAATACAGTGTGAACTGCATATTAGGCAAAGAATATGAAATATTCATTGTTCATTGAGGAATATATGATACCATTGTTGTTGTCGTTATTGTGACAATAGGATATGTATCATAATCTGTTTAACATGAATGACCTGTTGGCTAATCACATGTGGCACCCGTTCAGTGAAAATTTCACTGCAGGTGGTCGCAAAATGTTATCTACATCAATAAATAATCACAACAAGGAGGAAAGAAATGAGACGTTTAAATAAAGGAAAATGAGAAAAACCACGAAAAGACATAAAACGAGGACTATCATAAACTACCCATGTAGTGAAAACCGGAAGAAAACCGATGGTTTACCGCGGTTTTACCGATCTGGTTACCGGCTCCCATACAGCGGAAAACCGGTGGTTTTTTCCGGTTAACCGCGGTTTTTCTCAGCTAACTGCGGTTTTTCCGGTTTACCGCTAAAAATGATCCGGTTTTTACGACACGGGTAGCCAAAATTTAATGTTTTTAAATTCATTAATTTTATAGATAAATTAATGATGTTCAGCTGATGTATCATCAGTTGGATCATTACCATGCACACCTAGTTTTTCGTCAATAAATCCATCAAGTGTTTCAATGACCTCAAGTGCTCTGTTTACAAAATCATCAAGATTCATAATAATAATAGATGATGGACCTGTTACACCAGCACTTGATGAATATGTTGGTCTAATAAAATAAACAAAATTTTTTGATAAAAATCAAAACTAGTATCTACGTTTGTTCAACCAAATAATCGTTGATAATAAATTCTCCAAGAGCTGGGTTGCCGTCGATCTAGATTTTCAAATTAATTAATTAATTAATTAAGCTTTTTTTTTTACTATCATATTGATCGAATATAAATAATCTTGTACTATTTCATTATCAGTTGGTATTTTACGACCAGCTGCAATGTCATGAAGAACATCAACACGTACACCTATTTTCAAGTATACCATGTTTATCGAATTTTCATCCTCTCTGGTTAAAGATAATGTTTCATGTATTACCTATCCAGAAAAAAATCAATACCTTTCTTTAAAAAATAAGGAACATACTTGTCGAACATCATCGACAACTTTATAACCGTTTTGGATCATCAAGACATGAAAGATGACTAACACACGATCAACTTTACGTTGAAAGTGTGGCGTATATAATGTCAAAACCAAATCCATCAATGGATACTTATTCATAGCAGTGATATCCATGGCAATATTCTTAAAATATTTATTGATATATTAGCTATATATTTTTCTAAAAAAAAATAGCGTAAAGATAAATGGATTGAATTAATTGAACATTTTGAATAAATTAAGATGGATTCAATTGTTTCAATAACATATTTATTGAGATCAGAATTTTTTATTTGTTGAAGATTTTGTAAACAAACTTAAATTTAAAAAAAAATTCCATATTGTATTTAATTCAATAGGAATATATTCATTAACAAATAGAGCATAATACTAACTAGAAAAAAAAGAATCAAATATGTATATTAAAAATTGATTAGCAAATTAAATAAATATGAGAAAGAACACTAAGAACAGATTTACTTTATTTAAATGTACTATCATAATTTTGTAAGGACGTACGAAGAAAATAATTATGACACATATGATTGATTCAAATATACTTTCATCAAAGAAATAAAAATCTAAATATGAAAGTTTTAGATAAAAACATGTGATTTGATTTTTAAAAATCTTATCTATTCATTTACTAATAATAATATCAATATTTTCATTAAATTTATCAATATCTTCAAAATGTTTATTAATCGTTTGCATACGATCTTATACACCATTGAATTTAATTAATTCGTCTGGTAAACCACATATCACTGGATAAGCATTAAAAACATACTCCAGTATTCTTGTTTCAAACCCAGCATTAAATGAAATCCAATTTAAACAATTTATTCATAAAGAAAAATATTTATTTAGTAAACTATTTCATTTTGAAATAGATGTTTATTATTTATAATAGAATCATAATAAATGCTAACACGTGAACGATTATATAATATTAATTGATGAATTTGAAATAATGATCATAAGATTGAAAATATTGTTGATCATTACTCATTCTTCTAAAATTCATTACCTAAGATAAAGAATATTAATCTTTTTTTCTTCGGAAAATAAAAATAAAATTTATCAAGAACAATCTTTTCTTACTTCATACGAATATCGAAAGTGAGACGATCAATAAAGGATATTAATCATTTACATAAGATAAAATAAAATAAAATTTTCATAGCTATTTTTTGTTCTAATTGATCTTGACTAAAGATGAAGTAATTCGAAATTAATTTAATAAAATAAAGAGGAAAATATTTGTATAATAAATTACACAATATAATTTGATTTATTGAATAGGTTCAATTATTTAACTAACGTTGTTTTATCAAGATTAAAGATACGAACTAAATCTTCACAAATATAATATTGCCAAAATTTCATTTATTTGATCCAGTTAATTTACTAATGTATTGTCAAGATGATGATATTTATGTAATTGAAACAAAAACCGATCAAATAAAACATATTTGTTGTTCCAATCAATGTCATTATCTAGCTGCTCATGTTAGTTATTTTAAATGTTTAAAAAAAGATTTTTTTAAATTTTATCGTTTCTGGACTATCATATAATCTTTGAAATGAATTAAAATAGGCTCATTTTCTCATGGTAATTCTCTTCCATTTTTTGTTCATTTTTTTCAACTGGTATGAGCACTTTGGTTATCAAATTCTTTATTTCTTATTAGAATACGATGAACATCAGATTTATTCATTTTTATTTTTATTTTTTAGATGTTCTTTTTCTTTTAGAGATATTAAAGTAGTGATTATAAATCAAAATGATCGTTCAAATAAAATGAAATATTTTGATCGATATCAAGCATCAATACTTGCTTTAAATATATACGAAGAAAAACAATGGCTAGTGAGAAATAATTGTTTTATTTAGAAGAAAATG